GCAAGTGAAGGAGCGTTATTGGTGTACATTCCAAAAGTAACTTCTTTTTATGATGAGTTATCAGATGATGAACTTTTTAAAGAAATACATAGGCTTAGGCGACATCTAAAGGCGGCTGATATTGACTTTCACAAAGTCATGGACTGGTCAGTATTTGATGTTTTGAAAAACATAGCTGAATGGGCTAGAACAGGGTCTGGAACCTTTTTGTCTGAGAGAGCCATGGACACCACATATTTTGAAAAGTAAATCTCCGAGAGCCATACATTATGTTTAAAACTAAAATTTCAAGTAAAATGTGAGCATTTTGTGTAATTTCGACACTAAAAATGCAATAATTAGTTTTCTGAATTCTTTTTTAATAACATTGTTATTCTGTTGCTAATCAATAGTGAGTATTTCTTACCATAAATGCGATTTTTTTTTAATAATCGAACATTTGTCTGCGAGCCAGATGCAGCAATCAATAGAGCCACATCTGGCTCGCGAACCGTAGGTTCCCGACCCCTGGGCTAGAATCTCTTCCAATACTCTCGCTAAGCCTTCAATTTAGTCTTACGAGTATGTTTGTGGCTTCATGTGAGCGGGGCTTTACAAAACTAACGCTTATCAAGAAATATTTTATGATCCACCATGAGACAGTCTAGGCTTTCTGATTTGGCTCTGTTATAAATTGAAAGGGATACAGTGAAGGACGTTGATTTTGATCAAGTAATTGACAGGTTTGCAGCTTTGAAGACAAGGAGAGGAACATTTTAAATAAAGTAAAGTTAGTGTAAAAATTATTATAACTTAACATTGTTACAGTTTTTAAATACATTCATCCCATGACCTTCGATTTATGTTTTTGTTCTTGTCATTATTATACTGTGGACTTATTTTAACAAGAAAAAAATCACTCGTGGAATTTTGGAGGGGGGGGGGGACACAGCGAATTTACCGCCCCGGGTGACACCAATCCTAACTACGCCACTGGTACTGCGTAAATATATAAGCTATGAGCTGATATTAAACATGTCTTGTGCAAAAATGTGTAAATGATAAAGTTCATGCAAAAAGACAAGAATAATGTTAATTTTTCAAGAATAAATAGGATTTTAAACATATATTCATCCTTTACAAGCATTTTTACCAGTGGTTTTTGGTGCCAATAATTTTGTAAACCCACCCCCCACCCCCCCCCCCCAACTTCCCCCAAACATTCTGAGAACAAATATCTGGAGTTTGCTGAACATGTCCCCCTCCATGTCAAGAAAAAGTTCCACCCCAGGCCTGTGGCGTAGCTAGAGTTGGTGTCACCCGGTGCGGTAAACTCATGGTGTCACCCCCCCCTCCCCCGACTTCCAAGATGGATTTGTTATTGTTAAAATAACAGTATAATCATGACAAAAATTAAAACAAATTAATTAAAGGTCAGGAGGTGAATGTATTTAATAACTGTATTTAAGTATTTAAAGGAGCCAGAATTATCAATATATTGATCATTGATAGTAGGCCCTCGAAATATAGGGCCTTCACTGCGTCACTTTCAACTGATAGTAGAGCCAGATCAGAAAGCCTTGACTATCCCATGGTGGCTCGTAAATAGTTCTTGATAAGCCTTAGGTTTTAAAAGCTCCGCCCATATGAAGCCACAGACACACAGATCGTAAGAAACAATTTAAGGCTTAGCGCGAGCATAGGAAGAGATACTAGGAAGTCTCATTCAGCTATGAATTTCAAAACATCAAATACTGACCAGTCCTTGAATTTTTGAAATTCAATATCACCTGCCTTTCGTGTCTTCTAAGCCTAGGTATTACTTCTAAAAGTTCATCCTCTGATAACTCATCATAGAAACAGTTTAATTTTGGAACGGACACCAATAACTCTTCTTCATTTGATGATAGTAGACTCTTGAGTTGAACAGCACCAAATATATCTGCTACTTCCTTGATAACTGATGGCTTGCTCTGGAGTTCAGAATAAAAGCGAGCAATGCCCACCCGCATCTCCCTTCTCTTTTATTCTCATAGAGAGAGTCCAGCATCTGTCAATTGTTTCCTTTAATTCGCGTATAAACCTTTTTGTTCTCTTTACCGAAATTCCATATGGGTCTCATTTTAAAAGTACATTTTCAAAAGCATGTTCCACAAAGTTACAGCGTTTCTCGTGGAGGAACAATCTTAAGGCCTCTAGGTTGGTCACCACTTTGTCAAGAGTAAAGCATTTAGTCTGAAGATACTTTTGTGTAGATTAACTTCCTCACGTAGATCCTCCCAAAGATGAAGGTAGCAGATAAACGTGACATCAGAGACAGCATGTAAAAGACCTTGTGCTGTGTGACAGCATGCAAAAGACCTTGTGCTGTATAACAGCATGTAAAAGACCTTGTGCTGTATGACAATCGTGCTCCAATGTTAAGAGGTGGTGCTAGTGACGAATCGGCGAAAATATTTTTCTTGATTTCTGGGTTTCGATAAATTTTGTTTCAAAAGCATTCTTTTTTTTAATAAAAAAAAAATTAAGTAACTTTAAATTAATTATAAAATGTTTTTAGAAAATGGTGTTATATTATTTTGTTGACCTAAAAATGGGTAAAAATTCATTTTTAATTTTTGTAATTTTTACCTCTTCGATTCATTTACTTAGAATCGTCCAACCATATAATATTTGGTTTCAGTGAAAAGCTTTATTTCTCAGAATTTAGATAAATATTACTTCCTGTCATTTATGAAAGTTACCGAACACTTCAATCGGCGTTGAATCATGGTCAAAAAGGTTTTTCTGACGCTTCATTGGGATTAGTTCCACGTGTGGAGAACTTATGTGTGATCGGTTATCCTTTTATTCAATTCCGTTAGACCGAGCGGTGCGTGCTCTGTAGATGTACAATTTTTCAATTTGGTGTCATCCCCTGGGATGGTGTCAACCATTGTGTTCTGTAGCCCTAGCTGCGTCACTTGTTAACCCTATAAATGAGTAAAAAGTCATTTTTAAAAGGTGATTTGCTTATCAAATTATAAGGTCACCTCATTTCTGACGCATCAAAATATAAATTTTATGAAAATCGGTTGTACTGAGCAGTTTGTGCTCTGTAAATATGCAATTTTTCAATTGGGTGTCGCCCCCTGAAATGGTGACACCCGGTGCGGTCCGCACCCCCACACCCCCTAGCTACGCCACTGCCCCAGGCAGACCGCCACTACCACCCCCCCCCCCTTTTCAAATAATGAATTGGTTTTAAGTCAACACAAATATTTTCACAATTTTTCAATTGGGGGTCGCCCCCTGAAATGGTGACACCCGGTGCGGCCCGCACCCCCACACCCCCTAGCTACGCCACTGCCCCAGGCAGACCGCCACTACCACCCCCCCCCCCTTTTCAAATAATGAATTGGTTTTAAGTCAACACAAATATTTTCAAACTAAATATAAACTGCCAAACATTGGCGACATCAATGCGTGAACTTCCCATCTACTAAAGTTACTTGGCAAAACATGAATATATTGATTAGATGTTTGTATAGCGCTGGTATCCATGCTACTTTAGCGTGCTCACTGCGCTCTGGTTTTCTTAACTCTATTTAAACAAAAAAAGTCTTTAAATGTTTCTTAAATGATTTTTTTATTAATCATTTTCAATTCCCCTAAAAGATTGAGGCAAACTCTTCCATAATTTTGGTAGTATCGCTTCAAAAGAGGGCACTTCGTAAGACTTTTTTTCTGTGTTCATCCACCCTGGGAATTTTCAGTAAGGACTGTGTTGAAGACTGCAGGCTCTTCGAGGATACATGCTTAAAAATCAGTTCTATAAGATATTCCGGTGCTGAGCCTTCTATGCAGCTGTATGCCAGGGACAGAATTTTGTAGTTAATGCGCTCAGTCACAGGAATTTTCTTTAATATTTTTGTTTGTGTTAATTATTTCTTTAGGAGCACATCCTATACCGCAAACTGTTAACGTGAGTGCTAATTGCTATGATGGTCAATTTATTTTTGGACATTCTCCCTAAAGTCTGAGCAGGGTCTTGCCATGCGGTAGCTGACATAAGACGACTGTTACGTGCTGTTATCTGTATGGAGAAATTAATTTCTTATTTAAGTACATGGCTCTTTCTACGACAGTACACAACAAGAGACGATACCATAAATTAAGTACACTAAGAACAAACCAAAAAGATCTCTAAGGTTCTGCTTTTTTGTACATTACATCATAAATACACAAGAACAAATCAAAAAGACCTCTAAGTGTAAGGTTCTGCTTTCTGAACATTACGTATGTCCCTACACAAGAACAAACCACAAAGACCTCTAAGTCTAAGGTTCTGCTTTCTGAACATTACGTATGTCCCTACACAAGAACAAACCACAAAGACCTCTAAGTCTAAGGTTCTGCTTTCTGAACATTTCGTATGTCCCTACACAAGAACAAACCACAAAGACCTCTAAGTCTAAGGTTCTGCTTTCTGAACATTTCGTATGTCCCTACACAAGAACAAACCACAAAGACCTCTAAGTCTAAGGTTCTGCTTTCTGAACATTACGTATGCCCCTACACAAGAACAAACCACAAAGACCTCTAAGTTTAAGGTTCTGCTTTCTGAACATTACGTATGTCACTACACAAGAACAAACCACAAAGAAAAACTACATCAAGTAAGACGTCATTTACTACACCAAATTTAAAAAAAAAAAGAAAAAAAGAAATCACAACGTTAACTACAGCAAAAGTTGCAAACTGCATCACAATGTAAACATGATTAGACAATTAAGGATCTAAGACTTGACCCTACAACACACACCACAACACTTAACATGCCAACAGGTAAATAATCATGGAATGACATACCTGACAGACGGAGGGTTTCGGGCTGCGGACCCATCTTCATCATTTTAAACCCAGTCTGCTTTCATAATAACATCAATCATTCTAGAAAAGATCAGACCTTAATAAGACAGGTTTTCATACACACACTAAAACCAATGAACACCTCAAATCAACCAAAAACTCACAAAAGACACTTTTCAAACAGATTTATTCATATTAATATTTTGCTTAAAACATCCGATCAGTGGCAGCTGCATGTTACGAGGGAAAATAATTGCAAAATAAAACAGTGATTAATCATTCTTATGAGTAAATATGAGCCAAGAAAAATATATTAACTAAAGCAAAGGAAAGATAAAATGTATGTTGAGAACATAACCACTACCCACATCACACCTCTACCCACATCACACCTCTACCCACATCACACCTCTACCCACATCACACCTCTACCCACATCACACCTCTACCCACATCACACCTCTACCCACATCACACCTCTACCCACATCAATTTTAGAATACAACATATAATATTTATAACCCACCCCCCAAAAAAAAGAATGTTACTTTTGCATATGTATAATGTAATTAAATATAACAAAGAAGCATATTAATTAAACATGTACAAAGGATATTGACATTGAGTTTCTAAATGTGATGTTTATATTTTAAAACTTCTTAAAGTTTCAAACTGTACTCTTTCAAACTTCTAAGAGTTTCAATGTTTACATTTTAAAAACTTCCAAGAGTTTCCAGAAGTTGAATTACACCAAAAGCTAAAAATTGCAGGGTATATTTAGAGTTTTTTTTTTTTTTTAAAAAGCATTAAAATATTGCAGGAACAGATTTAAAATGTATGCAACATGAACAAAGATACCTCAAGAGTGGGAAATTTGTCAGACAAAAGTTTGTCTGAGTGTAAAATGTTTGAAACAGAAGTTTTTTCAAAATTAAATTTTTTTAAAAAGAGTTTTATTTTTTAGAAATTATTTTAAATGAAAGAGTGATTGAGAAATCTGGAAAACGTGAACTTTTCGTTCCATTTTTTCCCTCATTATTTCATTTTGAACATAATTCTGTTTTAACAAACTTCTGTCTCACAATTTGCTTTCCAAAAATTTTGTTCATACAAATTTTCTGAAATGGAAGAGAAATGGAAACAATTTTAAATTAATTCTATTAAATAAAAAAAACCTAATCTTTAAAATATATAAAGCAAGGCAAAAAAAAATAAAAAATTAAAGGACACTTCTTACCAAAATATTGTTTTAACAACGCAACCATTAAAAGCAGTTCAAATGAACTCTAATTTTCAAACATTTCAAGAAAAATACATAAACCTTTACAGTACACTGCAAAATATATGGTTATAAAACAATGAACGAGACAAAATTTCAGAATTTCACCAGAGATAAATACTTATTAAGAAATAAGACATATTCAAAGAATACAGAGCATGAATTTCTTCTTTTACAAGTTCACATAATTGATAATTAACCTTTTAGAATTTGAATTGCATTGATTATGGAAAGCTTTAGTAAAAAAACTAATTTAGTTTACTCATTGATCTTTACGGGATCCTCACAAAAATTTATGAGATTTACATTAGTTTATCAGTAGTTGACAAATTATTGTTGGAATTAGTTGCGAAATATTTTTAACAGTTATATGCAAATTTTAGAGCAAGCTTCATAGTAAATGATATAATCCAAAAGATCATTCCAATTAAATCAATGTAATGGTAATATTATCAAATCATCTTTAAAAAAGTTAGCGTTGCTTGGTACCAGGTGGAATGTTTAGCAAACTAAGTCAAAAAATGAATGTGCAATATAAAACATCATCAAGTCTGCTAAAAGAATGTGATCATTCTCCCACTGGATCTGGTTACGCTCACCTCTGTAAGTGCGGTCACTTGACTCAAATAGACCAATTTTTTAAATGACATTCCTAAAGCACCAGTCAAAGAAGGAAACCATAAACAGCTTTTGGCTGTCAGACAAGATTGACAACCAGAACAACAATTGATTGTTTAATTTACATGCGGCTCCAAAGGTGAAAAATAATGTAATGTACGGAAAACTTTAATTTTTTTTAAATGTTCTTGCAAAATTTAAAAAAGAGGACAAGTTTGCTTGTTGTGTAAGTTTTTGTGAACAGTGTGTTGTCAAGAATGCTGCTATTTGTTCAGTGATAAACTTCTTTTCTACACCAGCAGTTAAATCCAATGGTTTCTGCTATTACTTGTATATTTAAATGAGCCTCACCTTAGACTGAACAGTTGTGACTGAGGTGTGTTAGAGATAAGCCTCATGTGAGACTGAACAATTGTGAATGAAAATAAGAGATAAATATATGACATAATTATGGAATTGTTTATTTATTTTAAAATATCTGGCACAAAATGAATAACAGAGTGTTAAAGTAGAATGGCACTTGAAGACAGTGGCTCTGGTTTTAAAACCATTTGAAGTTTCCTAAAACTAGAAGAGGTGATGTGTGAAGAAAGATTGAATGCTGTCAAGATTGAAGTACAAAGGTGACTTTATGGTATGGTTCATTACTAACAATATGCTGAGCAAGTGCATTAAATTAATATTACCCGGTATCACAAGTTAAACAAAATGGATTTGGCACATACCCGTAGATTAGACCATTTAACTATAAAACTGCAAGCGTACTTACATTGTCTATTTAAATAAATGTGATGACAACTGTAAAACTACTATTAAATTAACCATAAATTCCTAGAACAAGGTACCGGTATGCAATGAAATATCAGCTGCAGCATAAATATTATTCATCCATCGATAACATATTTAGTATAGCCTACATAAGTGGCTTTCATAATACTTTGATGATTAATTATAATGATACAAGATATAATTAAAAATCATTCTAACAACTGCACATGCAAGACCCTATGATGAACATTTTGCCTGAATGCCTTTCTCTGTAAACACAACAATAAAAAAAAAAACACAATAGATTCAGACAAAAAGAACATAACTTGCAAAGAATCTTGACAGCAGGTTGTTTGAACCTAAATTGAAAAAAGCCAGCTTTCTTGTTTACGGTCAGCCATACCAGTCATTGAAATAATATTGATTAATAACACCCCAAGTCTTAAAATAAGTTTTTCATTGAAATTGAGCATTAAAAACAATTAATTTGTGACTAAATGCCACGGATACCATCACATTTCAATAAATATAACGTGTCCGAGTTGTCTCATTCTAAGGCGAAAGAAACCGTTTTTCTTCTGTTTATAGAAGAGATATATTTCAAAAAGTTAAAACTTAACAATGAGGCGCGATGAACTATATAGAAATGGTGATAAATGATAACCCATTTTTTTACCCGGATGACAACATGGAAAATAATGGTATTGAAAATTGTTTCCATTTTATTTGTGCGGAGATGATGAGCTTAGTTTGAGGGGTTACAAATGATACAAATTATAGGATGATAGCTTGGCACATGGGATTTTACATGTTACATTTGACTACTTTGATAGCAAACAGCATTCAAAGTTTCTAAATAAATAAATAACAGTTTTTAAACAAATCATATGAAGTCAGTCAGAATTTAAGTAATTTCCTTGCTTTAGCTCTCAAATGGCATGCAGCTTTTATAAGCTTATTAATTTTTACTCGGGGACATACATCACTATACGTCTTAGGCTAATTGATTGAAGCAACTTTGCTTACTGAGTTACATGTTTTTCAGGACCACGAAACTGTGGGTAGTGGTGCAACGATGCTTAGGATAGGGGTGTGCAATTCCTTTACTGGCATATTATGTTTTCATTCTTAGTCATCTTATATAATCTCATGTATTAATATGTTGTTACTGTTGCAGGAAATATGTAAAATATGTTGTTACTGTTTCAAGAATCATGTAAAATATGTTGTTACTGTTGCAGGAAATATGTAAAATATGTTGTTACTGTTTCAAGAATCATGTAAAATATGTTGTTACTGTTGAAAGAATCATGTAAAATATGTTGTCACTGTTGCGAGAATCAGCTGGCTGCAGGCTGGACAGTGGGTCAGAGATTTTGAGCAGTCAACACATGCATAGAGATGTCCACATGGAAGAAACAAGTCCTTGATCGGGGCAACCAGACATATCTTGCAATTCACCTGGTGCTGAAGCAATTTCTTCTCCCTTTCAAGTAGACTTACTGTTATATCTTTGACTGATTCTGAATTATGGGAATCTGTACAGAAGGAAAAGAACATTCACCTATTTTTTTTTGTTAAAGCTATTATGAACCTTACCTTTCCCATTTAAAAAAATATTTTATTTTAATAATCATTTACAACTATTTTCCAATTAAGGAATAGCTCTGAAACAGAAAAGACATAACAATGATCAGAAACAGCCCATTGCCTACAAGAATCTCACCATGGTTTGAGTCACTTTTGTTTTGTGATGGTAGGTCTACACCAGACGAAGAATGAGAGGCGTTACTCGATTCAAGTAGATGCTTCTGAGAAATTCTCTGATCAGACTGTATAGTGGATCTCTCTTCGGTTTCATTTGTATTACCGGAGCCATGGGATTCAGTCAAATCATTTCCTTAGGGATATATAAAAAAATTAAAGCTCCACACTTTCACGAAACAGCTACATTAAAGGGGTTACTTCTTTGTAAAATATCTCAGTAGATCTCAATAGCGCTATCAAAGTCTGAAGTTTAATGGAAACAAATTGGTGCCAATCATTAATAATTTTATTATATAATTATCCAGTTTTTAAGAACAACATATAAAAACAAAGAAAACTAAATACACCAGACTCACCTAAAGAAGACGCTCCGCCATATTCTTCACCATTTGCTGCCCCTGGAGTCACTCTAACATTATTTCCTTCGGGTGCTTGAGTTTGAGAATCCATCGGTTGCTGTACATCAGTGGATGGTTGGCTGGGAGACTGCTGGTCTTCAGCAGTTGTTGGAACAACCAGCATTTGAGGTTTTAGAGGTGCATTATCATCACTGCCATAAGAGCTTTGGCCTGAGGTTGTCTCTGCTTTTTTTTAAAAATTGAGAATAAGAAAAAATCCAAATAAATCATTTATTGTAATAATGTCCTACTCTCTACCCCATTTCTGTAAATTAACATGCATTCATATGGATTAAGCATTAAAAAAAATTGTCAAGCAATTTCTAATGTATAGTTTTTCCAAAATAGAAAAGTATTCATTTTAAAATAAGGATCAAAGGACAGTCTACTTTACTACACCAAGAAGAAGAATGTTGTGTATTTACAATGTAGCTGTGGTCTTTGGTGGCTGGGTTCATCCATCATACTAGATAACCCAGTGCTCAGCTGAGTTTGTAGAAAAGGACAAGATGGTCTCAGCCTTTCATGCTCCACATTGATATCGTCTCCTGGCTTCCACGATTTCAGGCCAAGTCCGCACTGGTAACATCGGACGCAATCTGCATAACCTGTGCATACATCATTCAAGATAATTAACAGATGAATTAGTTCAGCCATTGATCAAAATGTATTCTTACATTTAAATCAGAGCAATGACAGTAACTAAAAATGGAAACAAATGTGCTCTTGTAAGGAAACCAAATATTGTTGACACAATACCAAGCACCACCTAATTCCAACGAACAAGTGAGTTTTTACAACTGAACAAATATGGTCTTACCAGCATAGAAAAATCCAGCCCTTGCCAGGTCATGGGGATCGTGAATATGCCCCGCTGGCCAAGCAACAAAACTTTCCAACCTCTTTTGGTAAGATATGTAGACCGGGTAGGAAGGATGACTCAAAGCTCTGCTGTTCGGGTTACGTGTGGGCAGATTGACAGTGGCGGGCCTTGATATATTTTCCGTTGGTTGTGGAGCAGCTGGTCTGGTGGGTTCGGGAATTTTTCTCAAAACATCCTCCGAATAGCAGGCTTTGGGGGAGACAAATCATAGATCCATAAAACATGCAAAGCTTGATCATAGTTTTCATTTAAAACAACAACATGAGAGAGGTAATGAACTTCAAAATCCATACAAGTCCTAAACGGATGAACAAGGTTTCTTGAGCTGGTCACAACAAAGTGAAATGCGCATTACCCTGTAAGACAGAAACACCAAGTGAACTGTCTCTTTCTACTCCATTGTGCATCCAGATGTCAAGCTTCAGATCGTTATGGCCGTTGCGCTTGAAACAAATGACTGGCGCTCCAGATGTGCCTGGACAAGTGACTGCCGTGTACTGAAGCGCTTTCTTGACTTTTGAGATATCAGCAGGGACTATAGGAGGAGAAAGGTAGAAGTCTTAATAATGAGATCTATATTTAAACTAAGTTAAGCTTAATGCCAAATAGAAGTCTTGTAAACAAAACACATATAAGGCACACCAGGTACTTTATTCCAACCCAAAAGACTCAAAAATGGTTCTGTACATTTTTTTTGGAATGGTGTCAAAAATATGACCTTAGTGACCTTATTGAAAAAAAAAAGAGTAACTAAACTAATGAAAAAAATGAATATGTAAATTAGATTTATTTTAATTAACATTGCTGTATGTGTTGATCCAATCAAATTTATTAATGCAAATATTTTTGTAATATTATTTAATCTGACTTTACAAAAGAACATACACTGAACCTAAAGAACGCACAATGACCCAAAAGAACACACAATGACCCTATGGCAAAGTGATAACTTGTTTGCCTAAAAAACCATATGTGACAGGTTTGAATTCATCCTGGGTCATCCGAAGATTTGGAAAAATAGTGGATGGAATGGAAAAGTTGGCCTAATAAGGCTACTGTTCTTAAGTGCCAAAAGACCCCAAGTAAGTAAAAATCCTCTGGAGTAAAATCATCTTGGCACATTACTACACAAAATGGCTGTAGTCTTACCAGCTAAGTTACAGTCAACAAGCATAATGGGAAACATTAAATGGAAACAAATTAGTTTTAAAAAGCACAGTCAAAATTATTCACCTTTCTTATGGTTGTCAATTTTAAAAAGCTTAGTCCTTCCGCTTGTGTCTGTTTCAATGCCATATTTCACAGAAACACTGTCACCAAATGACAAACATTTCTCCATTCCATAGGGATGACTAATAATCACAACTGTTTTACTCATGTATTCTTTGAATTTTTTCTGCAGCTTCTCAGACAGTTCAAACAGCTCCTGCCTTATCTTATTCAACGTTTTCACAAGTTGTAAGTCTTTTGTTGAATACACAAAAGAAATCTTACAGCCCTTGGGATCTTGGCTACAATGCAAATGTCCACCTTTCAGTTCAACATGAACCCCGTTGGTCAGACTTAGGGAAAGTTTAACTGTTGAATCTTTTGCCTCCTGGTCATTGAAAACAATGTGTGGATTGGTCTCGACGTAGATCAGTCCGATTTCAGATTCATCACTCAAGTCAGGGTACCCATTCTTCAAAGCCTGCGGTAGATCTTTGAACTTGGTTATCTCGCCGTCTGTACCAAAGAGACTTCCGGTGCCACAGATTCCAGGCAGGCCTTCTTTGACGGGACATCTCTTCTGATGAGGCCTAAACCTTGAGAGGTTTGAGCTGGTCACTTTAACAATTAGCTGTGCACACAGTTGAAAAAACTTTAAAACGTCCCGATGCTTTAGTTTCACTGGAAGGTGTTCAATCGAAAAATTATCAAATTTCACAAATCCCCCATGCTCCAGACTTTCAGTACATATTTCATTTTCAATCTTTGACCATTGACATTCAAAGAGTTCATCATCAACTGGGAAAGAAAATGGAAATGTAAATCATTGTTCTTATTCAAAAATTTCTTACAATTTTATACAAACAATAAGTAATTACCCCACTTTTGAAAATAGCATTTACCATTGAACTTTTAATTTGTTTATTATAACATAAGTGAATCACATTCTTAAGAGTCCTTTAACTTTAACTCATAATTTTAATCGCCGTCAAATCAAAATAAAACATAATTTAAAAAAGTACAGTTTGCTGGATACTCACAACAGAAATTACTACAGCAAGTAGCGGAGGTATCTCCTTCTGGAAAGTTTGTTGCACCTTTAGATAATTTATCTTGAATTAGTGCATAGGTAATTATTAAATGACACTCTTGAAAGGTCCATTTAAAAAAAATTATTCCATTTATAATTATTGCTTTCCATAAAGAAAGGGACTTTAAATTTAAGAGTTCCCTAGAGCCGTTCTACTCAAAGAGTTCTTCCACAGATCAGCACTAAGACAATAACAAAAATAACTAAATTATACACTGGTCATCCCTCCAATATCCATAATTTCTGCCTGTCAGCCACACCCAAAATGTTGAGAAGCACTGCCCTAAAGAATGTTTGCTTATGATTGTACAAAAGATTATGTTAAAGAATATGCATAAAATAAAATGTATAGCATTATAAAAAAAAACATTTTAAATCTATTTTCCTTTCAGACAAATATAGCAATATTATAACACTTAGAATAATTAGAACTTGAAAAATTAATCTTTTTAAAAAACATAAAAACCAGCTTCAAATTATAAAAAAAGCAACTCACCACTTAAAGATGAAAAATTTGAAAAATCATTGCCTAACAAGGGTTGAACCATGTCTTCACTGGAAACATTTCCCAAAGAACTGCTATCTAAGGATGAAGATTCTGCTGTAACACCAATAGCATCAGAAGCAAATGAGCTCTCAGTCCTGACAAATCTGCAACCCCTATGGTGGTATTTTGAGCTTGCTGGGTCCGTTCTAATTTCTTGAAGGTTGAATGAATTTTTACAATCCTCACAAATGATGGCATTTCCTGTTCCAGTGTATGAAAAACCAGCGTCTGCCAACTTGATGAAAGGAACATGGCTTTCCACAAGAGTTATTGGCTGGAATGAAGCTAATCTTGACATGTCAAATGCTGGATAAACAAAGTACTCTGGTATATTTTGAACAAGATTTAAAGGCTTTAAAAGCCATCCCAAGCTTAATGAATTCTCAATACCATTATGTTTGCAGTCTTTTGCAAGCTCTAAATTATGAAGGCCATGGCTATGCATTTTAACAAGAGAAGTTGTAAAAGTGTAATCCATATTGCAGTCCAAGAATGGAATATTTGACTTAAGTAGTGCAGAGTAGCATAAACCAGGAGATGAATTACTGACCAACTCATCATCAAAATGAATTCTTCTGCCAATCACTATCAATAATAAGAAAATAATAACAAAGAAATCAAACGTTGATAGTTTTGAACATGCTAATCTGACAGTTTCTGTGAAATGAAACTCATAAGTCACATTGGATCTATGGCTGCTCTTGTCAGAGCGAATTAACCTAAGCTGATCAGACATCCGCTGCTTGGTAAAATATTTTGAAAGTCCAGGTGACTTGTATCCATGCTTCATTTTCCCACAAGCACTTTCTGTATCCTTACATTGGTAATATCTATTTAAAGAGCAATTACAATTTAAAATTCTCTCCAGGGCTTCTATATTTTTTACATTGTTTTGGTTCTTCTCTCCCATTTTGTTGTGTTCAAGTTCTTTTATAGTTTTCAGAAGATGGTTATTCTCTAGGCCTAGGACTTCTTCTTTTGGTATACATTTTAAAGCAGGACGAAACCAATATTTCTTTATGTAGTTCTGATGGTCATTTGGGGCAGCTTGATAATACAATTTTGCAATGCAAATGGCAGAAAAGATTAGAGCAATATAAAGGCCTACAGCCTCCTTTGAGTCCATCTTGATTATGGAGCACCAGAAACAGTAATGCTATCTACCAAAAGTGTCCAATATTTTGAAGTGACTGTTGTTTTTAAAAAGTCCATATCTGCAGATGAAAATTGTGTTTTGAAAATTGATGTAGTTATATCAAGTTTAAAAATAAAAAAAAAAAAAAAAAAATAAAAAAAAAAATAAAAAATCTCAACCTAAAATATGGCAGGCTGCAAACAAATCCTTGCAGAAGCAAACATATTATTACAAAAAATAGAATACCATGTGTATTTATAATATTAATTTTTTGATATTATATTATTTTAATGCACAATGATTTTCACAACAGGTTGTTGAGGTTTATTGATTATTGAGTGATAAATGACAGTCACTATTCATTAATGACAAAGTATTGTAATTATATAAATCCTGCATAGACAAAGATACTTATGTTTAATAAATGTGTCATTAGTAACTAGTCCTAGTAGTCAGTGGTAACTTGTCCAAATGTTGGACAAAACTTAAAAATTTTGGAAACACAGCTCTATATTAGTCAATACAACGGTATAACTTTAATTTAAAATATTTCCGAAGCCACGCCCGAAGACAAGTATATAATCAGACTGAATTAGGCTTATGCCTAATTGAGGAAGGAAGCATTGTGGATTGCACTCTACCCAAATTGTATTTTCCTTAGGGCACTTCTCATCCTAACCAAACACAGGTCTTAAATTTTACATTTTAAAAAAAACATTGGCCAAAAATAGTGGGAAAATACATTTAAAATCTTGCATGTGGAGGAAAAAAGTCTAGTGCCAGCACTGACGAGCACAGCAATGTCCAAATATATTCATACCTAAAGTAAAGATCGGTGATAACAGATAAACTTCTGTCAGGCGCGTCTGATCAGATTGATACAAACCAATGTTTGTGTTTTGCACAGGCTAAGGAGAGATGGAAGCGAACTCTGCTTATAAGTATCTTAACGTTTTCCTTTCCTGTATAGGCCAGGCGGTTTAATGTGCAGAAAATGCTTTCAGGGTAAAGATGTTTGCTGTTTTGTTCAAACTGCACGTTATTTTTTGAAGTTTGACAATTGTATTATTACCTTGCTCTGGTAAGTTACTTTGTTCATATTTGTATATATAATGATGCATTATCTTACTTTTAACTAATATCTGTGTGCTTTTCAATAGTAAATATCAAATGGTTACATTGCGTCCCAAGATATTTATACTGATCCTTATTATACTGCAGGTTAATTACACTGTCTAACATGGCGGGTGTTAGGAAAAGATTTGATTTGACCATTCTCAAGAATATAAAAGAAATTAAAAGAATAGGTTTTGAACGAGAAAGTTAGAGGAAGATTTTAAAGATGAGGATGACACAGAAAGTTAAGATGCAGTTGAAATTGGTCAGGAAGATTCACGGATGAAAGAAGAAGAGGATGACAATGATGATGTAGAAGATACTATTGACAATGATAATTTTTTTTTCTTTTTGGGAAAAGATAGAGAAACAAAATGAAATAAGAATCAACCTTCAAACAGAATGCATTAGAGAAGAAGTAATTTAATTAGAAAACGTTAATTAATTATAGCCCCTGCAAAAATGGCATATACTCTCTTGAATGCTGGAGTTGCCTGTTTGGTGATAAACTACTATACAAATAATTATATTGAAAGCATGAAAACACAAAATTTCAGCAAGAAAGAGACAAAAGAACAATTGTGAAACCTAGTGAGAAATGTATGACGCTGGCCAATGGTCAAAATTTTGTGCATGATAAACATGAGTGGCATCAAAGTCCAAATTATTGATTTAGGAAATTATCCAAATATTGTTAGAAGACATGTATTTTTCAAGAAATTATATAATGAATTGGTGCTCAATTTACTTAAAGAGGTGAAAAGTCAATTTATCAACTTCAAATTTTATGTTCATATAATGTCTTTGCTTTTATGAATGCGTAATCTTTTTTTCAATTTTTTCCCCAGAATTATGTACTAGTTATTGAATATGAAATAAAATAATTAATTTATGTCTTGTTTCTTTCAACTTACTTTTCATATTTTTTGTAGTTATAATTATTTTTAAAAATATATTATTTTGCAATATTCAAATAAAATAAACTAATTTAACCATTCCCTCATTATTATTAGCGAGATCTATTTTAAACAACCCGCCTGGTTTTGTGGCGAAAAAAGCATGCCGGGTTCTCATTGCGAAAAAAGCATGCTGCCAGAAGGTTAAAAGAAAGAGTTGAGTAGTGAAAGGGAAATGAAAAAATGATCAAACAATTTTTTTTTTAATTAGGACAGCAATGTGTTGAAATTTCATATGTTCAGTGAAATAAATTTAAAAATCTTATAAATATAATATATAGCAATGAATAGAGACAGAGAACATTTTGCCAATTTTGTATTGCTTAACCTATTTACACCCCCCCCCCCACATTATAAAAATATATATTATATAGTTAATATAGGCCTAACCTACTTATTATTCACATCTTATATTAACTTAAACTTAAAATAAAAAAGCAAAACTATTTAGTATTTAGTTAGGTCATTGGGTCAAGTATAGTCATATTCATATAGTCCTAATTTTATGTAGATGTAGAGTCAGTGTGTAGGCCTAAACTAAAGATTTAAAATTTCATTAAAAATAAAATTGTATTAATTAAAATTAAACTTAATAATAATAAAAGGTACTTTAGCTTACCGAAGTTATTTTAGTATCAAGTTATAAGTTATATAAAAATAAAAGATTTTGATTTGGCTAACAATGACCCCTACGGATAACAATGATTAACAACATTGACATTGACAACAAGAAACTTTGGTAGCTGAAACTTTACTTTACTTCTTTTTAGACAATCATAGAATTTTTATCAACCTAAGACTAAGTCACACAAACTTAAGTGAACTTATAGAAAATTTAATTATGGAATTTATCACGCTAAAACTAAAATAAGAGATTACCATGCCTGTCATTTTGACGGTGTGTAGTGTTATATGTGTTAACTATTTAATCTCAGGCTATCTTATCTGATTCTGGGTTAGATATAGATATTCTTTTAGAGTTTTTAGAGTATTGACTATTGATGTGTCAATAGACTATTGACACATTGACAGTATTGATCGTTGATGAGTTGATGTCTAGTTGAAAATTTAGTTGAAAAATACGACAACAGGTTAACCAAAACTGAATTTGATGTAGAGATGAATAAATAAATAAATAAGTAATATTGTGCTAACGAAACGTTGGAAAAGCCAATTAACTTCTTATTTCTGATATAAAACTCCTATTTTGTCATGGCTTCGTTTGCTTGCCTCTCCGGAAAACCAAAAGACTTGACCTGTCGCACTATAGACGTAACAATTAACAAGTGACACTCCCAGCAGAGTTGCCAGGTTAAAATTTCGATTTTAAGCCAGGTAGTATTAGAAAAGAGTCCAAAAAAAGCCAAATAAATTTGAAAATATACTCACATTACAAAAAAAGCTCTAAATCACATTCATTACTCTCATCCTAATTGGACGTTCTGTAACTAGCGGATACTATGCCATAAGCCTTGTCGGTTGTAAAAGCTTTTAGCATTTTTTCAGATGGAGAGAAGTCTTTACAGCATTTGCCTGACAGCAATAGTTCAGCTCTGATTCTTACAATAGCATCAAGTAAATTCAGTTGCATCCTGTTTCTTGCCTTCGTTTTTACTGAAGTGACAAGAGAGAATATCCTCTCAACTACTGCATTACTAACTGGGGTTACGAAACAAGTAAGGGCATAAGAGGCGAGCTCTTTAAATGCCTGATGTTGCAACACGCCAATCCAAAACTTTTCACTGTCTTTGGAACTCCATCTTTCTTAAATGCAGGTTCTTCTTTCCAATCAACAAAAAGTATTTTTCTGTATTGTTCTTCAATAATACTGATGTTGTTTTTAGCAAGGTATATAAAAGGTAATCCTGAAAATGCGGTCCTTGAAACTTGATTTAAAATTATCATAGGACTCAATTTTGATAGATTTTGAAATACATCTGTTGCTGATGGAAGTCTACATGTAACTTGATTTAGAGCTTCTTCTAACATAGATATACATCTTTCTGTGACATTTTTTTTATTTCCAGCTGAGCCTCAATACTGTTGTTGTTGTTGTTGTTTTTTTTTGTAGGCACCTATTACATTCTGTTAAGAATTTAATATCAATCTCACGCATTTGCATTTTCTGTCCATTAACATCATACAGTCTGTTCTGAAGACTTTTCTGGTGTAAGAATAATTCTTGATACAATTCATGACGATCAGCTTTGGTTTGTTGAAAAAGACTGTTTAGTCTTTCAAATTCCTGCACAACAGGTGTTGCAAAGACAAAGAACAAATAATTTTTGTAGTCTAACATCATTTCCTTTAATAATCTTGCTTTGTATTTTGTGTCAAAGTTTGATTGAGCTAATTCAGCACTAGTGAAATAAACCTTCAGTTCTTCCCAATTCATCAAAATGTTAAACATAACCTTCCCACGTACAAGCCATCGAGTAGATGAAGGTTTTTCAAAGGGAAGTGGGGCAGTTCGGGCTGACTCAAATTCCGTAGGTGTGTTCATAACTCTAAACAATTCTTTGCATGCTTCCCGTCTTAAATCACTATGGCGAAACCATTGAGGTATTTCTGAGAGCAAAAATCCAATACTTGATGGTAGCTTGGTTACCGCATGATAAATGCAAAGTGCAAGCGAATGACAAATACATTATTTGAGCTGTACACAGTAAGGCGATACATCTTTCAGTCTAGACCAGACCGAGTTCTTGCACCCCACCATATTTGATGCACCATCCGATGCAAACCCAATGCAATTTGTAAGACTCTGACCACATCTTTTGATTTCCTCTTCAACCAAATTAAATATGTTTTCTCCTGTAGCCTCTTGCACAGGAATTAAACCAAGATATCCAGTAACAATTTCGTTTTTAATATCCCTTAAAAAACGAACTAAAATGCACAAGTGTTTTTTGTGTGGAAACGTCAGTAGGTTCATCTATAATGAGGGCATATTTTTTATCCCGAAAGTCATCAATGAGATGAGATTTCAGCGCAGGCGATATCACGTTTTTCATTAGGCATGAACATTTAGATCTGTGCAGTTTTATGTGCCCCAGTGTACTTCCTTGACCATGTGATATCATGATTTCACTCAGGTGGTCAATTGTACGTATTGCACAATGGCAGGTCATGCTTACAGCAATTTGAAGCTCTACTGCTTTAACTTGATCATTGTTTGGTTTAGGGCTCTTTGTTACATTTACTTGTGGTTGGTTTTTTGATGGCGTTCTCATCCTATGTTTTGCAGATTTTTCATGATTTGAGAGGTTACTTATTCTTGGTATAATAGTACAGTGGCAAATTTTACAAAAGGTTGACTCGGATCCACCAGAAGCCTTCTTGAGCCATACGAATGTTTTTTTCCCAATTACTATTGTACTTACGATGGCTATCATAAGAAGCTTTCCATTTCTTTGATGAGGAGGCCATCGGTGAAAATAATTTTGTTTTATTATATTAAAACACAGTTATACCAAATGATCTATTTAAATTAAACTTCACAAATCGTTAAACCTGTGTCTACGGATTAGAATCACATTATCTTTATGTTTGTGAACCTAACACTTTAGAATCAACCTGTCAAGCTGTCAATCAAAGTTTAACCTGCTTGTACCGTAGTTTTTGGTTTTTAGCGGCCCGCGACAACTGGCAAGTCGCAACTGCCAGCTGTCTTTGTAGTGTTGCCATTTGAGAGTAAACTGTTTTAAGAGTAAAAGTATTTTAAGAAAGATTGTTAAGTAATTTTCGAGAAACTATGTAAAAGAAGCCAGAGAAAAGTCAAAAAACCAAACGAATTATCTTAAGCCAACCAAGTCGTGAAAAAGTCAGATTTCGCGAATCTGGCGTTAAAAAAGCCAAATTGGCAACCCTGACTCCCACCCGTTTCAGTTTGTAAGCAAGGGGAACACAATTTCTTGTCTTACACTGGTATATATTAATTACTAGAATATATGACCCGATGTCATGTGTTATAATGGTATGCAACACGGTCGCTCACAGAAATTACCAAATCTAAATTATCAATAATTAAATCACTATTGTCACTAAGGAATTCATTGTCGGGTGATTTCTACACTAGAGAAATACTTAAGATGTCTTGTGTTTTAAATTTTAAAATGATATGTCTACTTTACGCCCTTTCATGCGACCCAGGGCCGGCTCAAAGCGGGTACGATGCGTGATCATCACACAGGCGCCAAGGCGGCAAAATTTGTAAAAAAAAAAAAATAAAAAAAAAAAAAAATTCTGAACTCTTCAAATAATTTTCCAGAGGGCGACGCTAGTCTATTTTCACCCAACCTAAGAATGTCTAGCGCTGGCCCTGTTCATGTCCTTGAATTATTTGTTTTTCCCTTAAAAATTATGAAAACATAATCTTAAATTTACAACAACAAAAAAAACATATATACCATTTTAAATCTATTTTATATAAAAGGGAATTGATATATAGATATCTTCATTAAAAATTGAAACAATCTTGTGATGTGAGTTGTTTTTCTACTATGTTGTCTGAAAATCCTAAAACAAAGAATTCTACTATCTTAAGAAGAATTTCTTAATCGTTATTCACTTCTATAATAGCATTGAGTGTCATAAAACTATAAACCCACTTTACTTTTTGCAAAGTAAAAAAGTTTTCTTTAAAAAAAAATATGCATGGCTCTACTTTAAGATCAAGTTTTCAAGTGTAAAAATGTTTGGGTTTTGATATTTATGGGTAGACTTATGTGAATGTAACCACGTTTTGTCAACGCCATTGATCCTAATATATGTTTATTGTAAAAATAGAATGTAAGATCTCTTTTGTACGGCTTTAATATCATTGGATTTAAAGAAATTGTCATTCACGTAAAAATATACACAACCTATCTCCTATCTCCCACTATATATCAACCTAATCATATCAGTTATTTATCAAAATCATTTCTTTTCCTGACGCGTATCTTGTGCTGCATGGGGAAAATGAACTTATAGAACTATTCCACCCCCCCCCCCTTTTTCCTAACACATCAAAGATTTTAATAAAACAATTAATACAATAAGTCTTTATGTACGCAACCACACATTTTAGCATATCCCTGAACTTAATTAAAAATCTTAAGTCCCAGATCCCCTTTAACCTACAGCCTACCTCTTGCTTCGTTCTACCTACAGCCTACCTCTTGCTTCCCTCTAACTACAGCCTACCTCTTGCTTCCCTCTAACTACAGCCTACCTCTTGCTTCCCTCCAACTACAGCCTACCTCTTGCTTCCCTCTACCTACAGCTTACACTGACTACACATATTGCCCAGCGTGGCGATCTCTTCCATAGAAGTTTATTTTGTCACGTCTCTGGTGGTGGCAACAGTGCATATTAAAGTATTTATTAGCCATGTCTTTGAATAAATTCATATTTTATTTTTTAGAAATGGGAAAATAGAAAATTGATGTATACTTTCAACAAAAAAAAAAAACAACAACTGTGAATGCTATGAATATGTGAAGACTTTAACAAACTTAACCTGCAATAAAATAATATTTTAAATTTTATTGTTATTTAAATAAACACTTTTATTTTTAACAGCTATCAGAAATGGTAGCTCTTACCTGTAGGTCATATGATAGCATTTGCAGTCCATCTGGAGGGGAAAATGGTTCTTATTATAAAATATTGTCATAGTATTACTCATATTGCGACTTGGTTTTCATATTACAAATAATAATACTTTTTTTTAACTTTCGCCAACTACGCAGTTGGGGAGTGTCATACGCATTTTTCAATATTTTACAAAAAAATCAATTTAAAAAAAAAAATAATAATCTATAACCTGCTCTATATTTTCACCCACTCACAGCGCTTTTATCTTTAATTTTTCAAGGGTTCCCTCTTTCCCATTTTCGTAAGAGTAATTCATACTTATGTTTTCTGCCGTTCATTGTGACAGCACGGGGTTGATGATAAGAATCTGCCCAAGGATTACCCTGGGGCGTTCCATAACTGAAAGGAATTCATTTTATGTATGGCATTGGGAGTCATAATGCCTTTCCGTGCGCTTGAAAAATTCCTTCCCCCTGATCAATACTCTAATAGAGACAATGAGTTCTCGTATTATCTCAATGGCACCTCTTGATTTTGAAATAAATAAAAACATCTCTGAATACGGGCTCCCCAGACACCCCCCACCACCCACTCTTTTTTCCGCTCAAGAGGATCGTCACCTTCTATTTCTGATCGGGGGCCTACTTCCTGATGGCTTGATGAGAGAGCGTGAAAACTGTAAATTCTGTTAAAAGTGTGTATGTTATTTTGAGCGAGACATGACTGACATTGGAATCAAAGTCAACTTCATAATTATCAATGTTAAAATTGAATACCTTTGTTTTAAAAAAAGCAGGCGTTTAAGATCATTTGAAAACCCCGTCCACTGTAATAAGAAAAGTGGCGCCCCTCTCAGAGTAATGTTGACATGAACTAGCTAAAGCATCGTCCTCCTACTGTCAAATTTGTGGCTGAAAAAATATCATACAGCATACAGTTTTTCAAAAAAAATATTTGTTTCTTTCTGAGAAAATATGATTTATGACAGAGGCGGGCAATTGGGGGGGGGGGGGGGTTAATTTTTTTTTCATTTCCCTCTCCCCCCCCCCCAAAAAAAAAACCCCCCATATTTTTTTTTTTTTTTAATGATATCTTTAGAAACCTTGAGGAAATATTATTTCTGATACATCATTTAGCCATTTCTTTATGGTGAAGTAGCTCCATTGTGATTTGAAATGGCTTAAATGTCTTATCTATTTTGTATTTTGCCACGAGTACATAATTATTAAACAATAACTTGAGTCTTCTAAATAATGAATGTTTCAATAATTTCTAATAAAACTATTATGTTAATTTTCCAGAAAAGTATAAATTTCCTAGACTGCTTGTTCAAACTTGAACACCGAGAGTTCCTGACCCACGAAACAAAAAAGTTAGAACCACGTTGGTAGACTACGTCACCAAGGTTTATATTGTGGTGGGTGGACTTTTGGTGCTAGGCTACTTGTGAGGGATTAAATGTATGAAATTATGACTTAGTTAATCATGTTATTGTTTTTTTTAATGAAGGAATAATTAATATTTTTAGGACTATTTAAAAAAAAAAATCAACAATACCTTTTATATAACTTATTTTAAAAATATCTGTCACAAATATGGCAGTAGGAGATCGAGTGCTCTCGCCACGAGACACGCAAGAGGAAAGAGTAATTATATCACTATGGATATTCCCGTAAATAGCTTTTGATCAGGGGTCACCAATCTGTAGCCCATCAGGCCCACCGATGGTACGGTACTTGAATTTGCTTGTTTAAACGTCTAGAACGCGAGACGTTGTGATACAATTTAAATTTTAAAGCTATTTTTAAAATCCTAGGAGATTTACCTTAGATTTACCTTAGATTTACCTTAGATTTACCTTAGATTTACCTTAGATTTACCTTAGATTTACCATTTTTATTTTAAAAATAATGTATCTAGATTTTCTTGTTTTTTTTTTTTTTTTTTTTTTTTTTTTTAAATTTTTTCTTCTTTCGTGACTTTAAGAAGCAATTTTGGGAGAGCTTTCATATGTTGATAGAATTGAGAGGGAAATCCTTCCGTTCCAGAATCCGTTTGATTTTTAACTTGATGAAATGCCAGTTGAATTTCAGATGGAGCTCATTGATTTGCAAGCAAACGTGTTTTCGAAAGAGAAGCGCTGACAAGGAAAACTTGTTAAATTTGACCGCTGCTTACCTGACGTGGAGTTTCAGAAACTGAAGAAATTTGCCGCCGGTATGACGTCAGTGTTTGGAACAACGTACGTCTGCGAGAGAACGTTTTCAAAAATGAAAATTGTGAAGTCAAATTGTGAAATTACGTTTCGCCAGCTTTAGAGGAAAGAAAAGTGCAGTTTAATTTTTGGTCGTGGTACTGGCCAAGAGGATATTTAATGCTATAAATATCTTCATGAGGTTAGGGGAAGGAAAAAAATAAATAAAATTCGGTTCACCCAATAGTAATAATGTTTCCCTTTGGAAAAACAAAAGTCCCCGTAGATTAGGTAACACATTCGCATTTTTTGAAGAAGAAAAAAATTGTTTCACTACAAGGTTTTCCTTTAGTTTTCGAATAATTTAACGAATGGCAACCTTAGACTTGTGTTATCATTTCATTTTTCAATATTTTTTTCATAATCCCATCCAGCCCACTAAAAAAAACCCCCAAAAAACCTTTAATCTAAACACTTATAATTTGAGTTTGAGAGTATCGATTAACCATTTCTCCTAGTGATGAGTTTGTTTTTTGTTGTTTTTTTTTTTTGTTTTAAAGAGGAAGATTTTTAGGGTTAAGGCGTGCACTATTATCGGAATGCAGAAATAAAATTATAAAAAAATCAACAATTTGTTTTTGAAAATAACTCCAGCAAGATAATTGATCAAATCTATTTTTAGAGAGCATAGGATGTTTGTCAAAATCACTATAAATAGATTTAAAAAAAAAAAAAAAACTACATACAAACTAAAACGCGAAAATAACATTATAAATAATAATTGAAAGAAATAAAAAAGTCAACAATTTGTTTTTGAAAATAACTCCAGAAAGATAATTAATCAAATCTATTTTTAAAGAGCATAGGATGTTTGTCAAAAACAAAAAAAATAAATTTAAAAAAAAAAAAAAAACTACATACAAACTAAAACGTGAAAATAACATTATAAATAATAATTGAAAGATTTTTTTTTCCGCTCTGAGATAGTACGGTAGAACCCCACTAGCAAGTGTAACTAGGGGACCATAAAATTGGTTCGCGGTAACGCGTAAAAAGTGGACTCGAATTAAGTCAGGGTTTTAAAATATTTTTTTATGTGGCCTAACTCCGCGACGCCTACTGATGTACGAAATGCAACGTGTTCTCCACAGAAGACTTGTTTCCGCGCAAAAATAGTGTTGGTGTTATTTAGAACGCCTTTCAACCGAGAAGGTTAAACGATAACCGCTACTCACGTGCGAAATAGTCGTATGCAAATGACTAGACCAAATTTTTGGGAGCCATGCCACGACGGCGTCATTCCCGCAATAGTTTTACACCTGGGTTCCATTGCCTTAAACACTTACTGCGTGACTAACGTTTCTCTGCTCACCCCAACCGACTGCCCACTTGACCAAATCGGCTTATCAAGACCACCGTCAACCAACCAGGGTTACTTCAGTGCCTAATCATGCTGTTATGAAAAAATTCATTAATGACAGTAACTATATACAACTATATATAACTATATAATTTACACAAGCTTTTCCCAAATTGTGCTTTGCGACCGGGTACCTTACCTGGCCACGAAATAAAGCTAATTTTAGTTCTTGAAAAGAATGTATCGAAAGCCTAGCTATGGATAATTGGGGTTCCGGTTTTCTGTCTTCACCCCCTACGACACTTTGAAAAACCCAATAGCTATCGGGAATATTAAAAAGAATTTTTTTTTTTTTAAAGAATATGTAGCCCATATGACCACACAGGAAAATTGGGACATGTGCCACTCTGTTGAGCACTGCAAAAATTCACGCTAGAAGCTGGCATGTTGAATTTTCATTGAATGTAAGGGCGTGCGCTTGGGGGGGGGGGTGGTGAGGGCGATCGTAGGTAGAGTTGTTTCAGAGCTGGCAGATGTTTTATCAAAGGCAGATTTGAGAATATGAAATCAGAATGCTTAAAAAATTAGGCTGTTGGTAAAGGATAAACTAAGGTCAAAGGTTGATTACTTGCATCTGAGAATAAACTCGTCATCTTTTTCTCTCAACATAATTTTTCTATTAATTGAAGAACAACGTCATAAATTACGAAAATTGTTTTCTCTTTGATTTCATTTGTATAAGAGTAATTCTTTTTTTATTTTTTTTATTTTTTTAAATTTGAAACTGAATGAAAATTACTATATTTATGTTACTTACAAGAAGTGATACAAATTTTATCGGGTTACAAAGGAGAAGTATAAAATTAGCTGCCACACGACAACACAAGTTTAGGAAACCCCGATCCGATCTTTAAAATTATACCAACAATTATATCCCTTTTTTTCTCTCTAAAATTGACTTTTACCATTTTTAATTTAATGATAAGGTACTTACAGTGATTTAAGAATGAGGTAAGTGGACACTTGCTTGATACATGGGAAATTCCGTCTGAAAGACAAAAACTTGAGATACACTGTTTTGACCATAATTTTTAAGATCCTTTATTTTGTATCCTTTATTTTGTATGACGTGGTCAAAAGATTAACGTGAACATTCCCTAAACGGATATCCTTGACGTTTGTTAGTTTAATTTTACTACAATCTAATTCAGCGGTTCTCAACCTGTGGGTCGCGACCCCTTTGGGGGTCGCGGGACCCTTTCCAAGGGGTCGCCTAAGACCATCTGAAAACACATATCCTTACAGCTATGAAGTACCAACGAAAATAAGTGTATGGCTGGGGGTCGCCACGACACCAGAAACTGTATAAAAGGGTCGTGGCACTAAAAAGGTTGCGAACCACTGATCTAATTCACTGGCATAGATAGGGTTAGTGCCATCCGGTGCCGGCCACGATTTTTTCCGCCTATTCCACGAAAAAACCCTTCCCGATCCAAACATCCTTGTGGCGCCACAGCCCATGAAGTGCTTTGGCCTGAATCAATGTGACGTGACGTACGTTGTCTAGGGGTCGGTCCCCTGCGTACTAGCCACAGAACAATTTTCAAGGGTCTAGAACCCATGTTGTCTAGCCCCTACAGAGCTGATGTGCTGAATAGTCCAAGTATTTATTAAAACAAACGATGCAAGGCTTCAGGGTTCATATGATTTATTGCCTTCATCTTCCTGACAGTGGAAAAATGCATAGCAAACATCCGCTGGTTTTCAGAATACAAAATTTGTGTCCAGGAAAATGCTGCACATAATATAAAAAATATATTTACAGAAGTCCTCTGCCATCCATGGACAAAATCTCCCTCAACAAACTAACGTCCTCACATCCAAGCCATCGCGTTCGCCACTGTCACGCTCTCTGAAACTCATCATCCCTTCTTACACACTCCTATCCTCACGTGGTTCCTCCCGACACAGCACACCGGTCATACCTGACCGAGACAAAATAAAAACTCGTGGGGCACACGGGGAAAAGAAACTCACCCACGATTGGTCAAATTAGCATTATAAAAGTTTACACAGACAAACTCACGCGATCTGACCGTGACAATCACCACTTTCTTCCACTCAGATTTCCTCATCCTCATGTCCCTTAGTCCTTGGACCGTTGGGGCGCCACAGATGACATGTGAACCATCCTCCTCCATTCCTCTCTGTCTTCAGCCCTACGCACTGCATCGCCCAGGGTTAGTCCTGTCCACTCTTTGATGTTATCCTCCCATCTTTTTTTTTGGCTTCCTCTTTTTCTCCCTCCTTTTGTGATGCCCTGCAATATTTCTTTGGCAAGCCATTGTTTCCTTGTTACGTGGCCGTACCATTGTAATTTGCGTTTTTTCACAGTCACCAGTAGGTCATCGTACTCCCCAATTGCCTGACGAACCCTTTCTTTCACTGTATCATTGGAGATATGGTTCCTATAGCAGATGCCAAAAATGCTTCTGAAGCATCTCATCTCCATCGCCTTTATTTTCCTTTGAAGATCGGCTTTTAATGTCCAGGATTCGCAGGCATACAGGAAAATGGAGAGGACTAATGAGCCCATCAGCCTGATTTTGGTGCTGGGGGCTATATTTTTGTCTTTCCATATTTTCTTGAGCTTTTTTAGTGCTGTTGTAGTCTGCGCAATCCTGGACATCAGTTCGAGCTTGGAGCCTTCTTCAGAGACTATTGCTCCTAGGTTTTTGAAGCGGCCTACAGTCTCTAATCTTTCCTCCCCGACCTTAATTTCAGTGGTCATGCCTGCGGTATCATTTGTCATCAGTTTTGTCTTTTCAGCACTGATTAGCATGCAGTAGGACGACGAGGTCTTATTGAGACTATTTACCAGGTCGGCTAGCTCTTCTTCGTTCCCAGCCAGTCCGTCTATGTCGTCCGCAAAGCGTAGGTTGGTGATTGTTCTGCCACCAATGCTGACTGTCCCTTCATGCGTTTCCAGAGCATCTGACATAATTCTCTCTAGGAAGATGTTGAACAGGGTGGGGGAGAGCAGGCAGCCTTGTCGTAATCCAAACGTGGTCTTGAACCATTCTCCGATGTTGTTAGTGAGGAAGACTGCACTGGTGGCCTTATCATAGAGGTTGCATATCATGCTGGTTAGGTTTGTGTTGATGTTTAGGTGCCTCATGGTGGCACATAAAGCAGCATGCCAAACCCTGTCAAATGCTTTATTGAAGTCAGCTTTAACTTATGCTTTTCTTTTCCATGCTTGGATTCCCAGTTGTTGTAAATCTTTTTAAACATCATCCATCCATCCAAGCCTAGATCTGCCTTTGAGCCGTTTCCTGAAGTTTTTTTCTAAAATGCTCCCACTCCACATGTACGGGGGGGGGGGGGGGGAACGCCCCGGGGGGGGGGGGGCCCCCCCCCCCCCCCTTCCTACGCCACTGGTCTGAAGCCTGAGAGTTTGAGATAAGAATATCATATCTTTACCGTATCGTTTCTTTCAGATGGGTTTACTAAAATATTAAAATAATGTAATGTTAACACGGCCTGGCTTAAGAAAATGTACTCCTTTTGTAGGAAGATTTACTTAGGTTTGATTTTCGTCTCTTGTCATTTTGTCCCTCCCCCCCCCCTCCCTAAACAAAAGTATATTTAATGTCACCTATTTTGTTATTTGCAGCAGTTTCCCTACCTGCCCGCCCAACATCCCCCCCCCCCCACTCACACAAACACAGCGCCCCGCCCTATAGATTAGCGCTGAAACAAAAACAAAATGTTTAGCGAAACAACATAAGTAATTTTATTGAAACTATTAATTTCATATTTTCCAATGCATACAATTTTTTTGTTAACATTGTATTTTTTCTCGATCAGTCTTTCTCATCTTGTATGTTTACTATCTCTTTTATATATAAACCCTTTTGATTATATTAATTGTTTGTATTTATTTTAATTTGATACTTTATGACAAGAGAACTTCAACAGTAAATGACTCGCAACCACAATGCGGTCATACCTCCTATCCTTAAACCTGGTTCCTGGAAGGTTTGGTTCAAAATTCTTTCATCCCAAAAAGATTTAAATTTAAAAATAATAAAATAATCAGAGCAACCAAAAAATAATAATAGTTTTTGCAAAAGGCTTACATTCTGAGACATAAGAGATAATTTATTTTTGAAGTACGCATTTTTTTATATGCCTTTTTTTTCCAGAACGGTGTGCTTTCAAACATCCTGTTAGAGGTTAGATTGTCGATGTGCTTTTGTTTAGTGCACGCATTCAGGACCCCACCTAGGAAATTCTGGGCCCCCAGGTAGCTGACAGAGTTCGGCCCCGTTTCGTATTTCAAACATATGCGTATATTTTAAAACTCTAAAAAGGGCGGGCACCTATCTAGCTCAGGCCCCTGACAAGTGCCATTGTTGTCCCCCCCCCCCCCCCCCCCCCCGCAAAGGTGCGACCCTGACGCATTGTAAGTAGAGCTGTATTCTATGTTCGCGCGATAGATTGCTTTCAATAATATTTGAAATAGCAATTTTCAACAAAAGCTTAGCTGTTAAATGCAGTCATGTTCTCTTAAATATAAGGAAATACGTGTTGGCCCATTTGAAACTACAGGTCATTGCGTTATGCGTGAGGTTGAACTTAAGATAAGAATTATCCCATGGTTCGGGGCGTGCATAAGTGGGGCCTTGGCGCACCTAGAGGTTTACAGTCATAGGGGTCCTTTTATTAATTTCATGACCAACTTTGCATAGTAGATGTGTGTGGGGAAGGGAGCATCGCAAGTTTGTAAGTTGACCCAATCAGCATTTAGTAAGACCACTTCTCTGTACGGGAGTTTACTACCACTTCACTAAACTGGTATGCGTTTTTTTTTTAGTACATCAATGTCACAAAGGCACTATTTGTTTAATGTGGAACAGTTTCAGTCCATAGCTTTCGCTAAGTGGCCAACTCCTAGCAGACAAGACCCATGGTGGGGGTTAGGTCGCAAAGAAGCAGAGTCTAGTGACAACGATGTGTATGGAGCACTGTCCCATCGGCACATACTTCAACAGGCTGGATCAGGGGTGGGCAAACTTTTTGAGCGGAGGGCCACATTGACAAAGGTGAAGCTATTGGGGGAAGGTCCACAATAGTCCACATGTATATTATATCCACATATTACATCTCGATAAACATGTCTCCATATTAAAATCGGTAATTTCGCAATTTAGCATTACATATCAAAAGGCAAGGACTGATTTAAAAAATTAGAAAGAAATTTGATTTAAAAAATGTGAAAACAATCATAACGGGACATGAAATTTTGTAAAATTCAACAAAATAACTTAAAACAAAGTAATTTAAAAAAAAAAAGTATAAATGCCTTCGAGGGCCGCATAATATCATTTGCGGGTCCGTATGTGGGCCGTAGTTTGCCCACCCAGGGCTAGATTATAACAAGGACCCTACCTGCCTGCAATGCATCCTGGTCCCGGAAACACTAGCGCAGCGTTCCCCAAACGGTGGTCCGTGGACCGGCACCGGTCCGCCAGCCTTACGTTACCGGTCCAGAGAGCATGAATATTGATGTTTAAATAGAAAGAAAATGTAATTAATAAATCTGGCTCCGGTCCCTGGTGCAGTTTCGAAACTTGTCCACCGGTCCGTGAAACTTAAAAGTTTGGGAAACGCTGCACTAGTGCATCTGTTGACCGAATGTGCCTCCCTAGATGTTTCGGGGGAAGCCAGGGCGGCGGGAGAGCCCTACGTGAGGAGAATGTTGTATTGCTCAGCTCAGTAGATGGAGCTGGCAGCCCATGTACTAACTGGTGTCATAAGAGAGTAATCTCAGACCCTCACCAATCTATGTTTTAATTAGTCCATAGAAGATAAATTTCCTCTTTTAAAAAAAAAAAAACAAAAAAACAACAACTTTCATGCTGTACATTTATTTATTAATAATAAACGTCTTAAATACCATACACAATACGTTTCTGTCTCGAATTTTTAACAGACATCAGACAATAATATTGCAGTGTTACGTTTAAAAACGGTGCAAGACACTGGACAATGCAAAATCACAAAACTTCGCACCCTTATTCATCAATACGTAAATGGTGAGTTCAGTTAGTTTTAACTTCTTGAAATGAGATGCCAAGAGTCTGGTCCGCAATTTTAGAAGGTAGTCCACAAAGAATGCCACGCAATTTTCGACACTATTTACCCTAGCTTCTCCCTGTCACAATCTGTCACAACCACACGCCCCACCCCCTGACGTCAAACATTTGAATTATTTAATATTTTTTTTTTGCAACTAATTAGAATTTAATCTAACACACACTTCACTATTACAATAATACATTTATAAAAGTGAAACCTGCATCCACAATACATCCATGACAGCAGAAAGTTAAACATCACTGCCAAAAGTTCTTAAAGTCCATAAACTACGTCACACTCTATAAGAGCCCGTTCCGCTAAAACGGATCGTGACGGACGCATAGTTGGACGGCCCACTTGCATACATACGACTTTCTAAATTTAGATCTAAATGAAGTCAGGGATAAAATACGCTTCAAATAAATAGGGGTGTGGGAGCAAACTGTTCAAATTGGTTTGGCTGCACATATCACAGATACGTTGTAAATATTAGTAATGTGATAGGCGTTGGGTCAAATGACGTATTGGGGTGTGTATTTCTGGTATGACTAAATTGAGGGTTGGGCACAGCTTACGAAGTAAACATATCTTGATGAGATTTTTAAAAAATAAAATTTTTGATGTGTTAAAAATAAACATTGAAAGATATGCTGATTCTTTTTTTTTTCTTTTCTTTCTATTTTGTTTGACACTTTATTGTACATTTAAGAAAGAATTTCTATACAATAAATTAAAACGTTTTGAGTAGTAAATTCTTTTTTTTTTTTCAAATGGTACAAAGTTTTGAATTATTAATGTCTTGATATGTTCCTTGTAAGTCAGTGTTTTTAAAAAGGTAAAAAAAAAAATAAGACAAAGAAATTATTTATGAAAATCGCTCTGTCAAAATAAATAAATAAATGAAATGATTAGTTCACAAAACAACGTAAAGATGTGAAAATATGTTATTGTTTTTTTTTTTTACAATGATAAAAAGTAAATAAAAGATTAACTTTAAAACATGTATTTTGCTTAATTTAGATTTTATTCTAAAACCAACCAGGAATTGTATAGACCAAATCAGGATCTCACACCAGTAGAATAAATAAAAAAAAAATAGGGCATGCTACGCTGGGCTGGACATTTAGAAAGAACGCCAAATGACAGAGGACTGAATAGGGTGCACTATCAAAATCATAGAGGAAACTGCTCAAATGCAGGCTTAGAACTTCGATGGATGGGTGATGTGGGGAAAAAAAACAGTCTACAAGAGCTGGGAATCCGGGAATCCAAGCATGGAAAAGAAAAGCATCAGTTAGATCTGAGTGGAATGAAGTGATGCGACAGGACAAAGCCATACATGGGCTGAAGCGCCACAGGGATGCCTGGAAAAGGGCAGTCAAGAGTTTTTCGATATATACAATGAGAATTGATATGTAAATAAGGTAAACAAATTTCAAGGTGAGCAGATAACCAGGGTCATAACTAGCAACAGTGGGTTGTCGATTCTAAAATAAACATACTTTTAAAGAGAAACCATGAATTCCTCTTAAAATAACTCACCTCAATTAATTTTATGTGAGGCTGTAAAAAAAAAAAAAAAAAAAAAAAAAACAACAACTCAACGTTACTGGAGATTGGATTAGCTTTAAACGATGAGTTCCAGAGCTAGATATACTAACCAGCTTGACGTAACCAGACCCTTCACATCTAACAGATAAACGTAGAAGCCTACTTCTCAGTTGTATCTTTTCAATCTTCATCTTTTGAGTACCGTGCTTAGATAGTTGACGGCGCTATGGGCGCTGGCCATGACTTTGAGTTAAACATGTTGAACTTGTCTAACATTCTTAGACAATATGAAGCATTCGCCTATTCAATAATCAGGAAGCTATAATTTTCTTTCATGGAAGTCCCCGAAGAGCAACTTGATGTCTTTTCATCATCACCAGAGCATTTACAAGAAGGCAGAATAAGAATCAAAAATAGATAAAGCTAAAAGTATATGGTCTATCACATAAACAACTATAAAGATTAAGATTAAAATTTAACATTGGAAAAATTAAAATTGAAAATATTTATTTCTCTAGTTTTTTTTTTCTTTATAATTAATCAAATATTTATTAAACACGCAGGTTAAAAGGAATGATTAGAAAATGTAGCAAAGTTTCCTAGCATTGTTTCCGTTTTCTTGTTTCATTTCTATCCCGATCTTCAGCTAGTTCTCAATAGCTTATTCTATATAATCAAAACTTGTATGCTGCCTTCTTGGAATCCCCGATGTTGAAGAGATACGAAACTGCAATTGGCGTTGATGAGGCCTGGGGAAAAAAAATTATATTTCAGCAGAACCAGAGAGGGGCGGGAGTCTAAAGAAAAAAATTACATAACAATGATACAAGATGGGTGTTGAAATAATGCGAAATTTAACTTTCTAAGTCCGCAAGCACCTGACGTTACATCAATGTCGGCTGGTAGTGGTTTAGAGATCTCCTTATAACATTTTCCATTCATGACGCTCTTAAACATTTCTTTTTACATCCTTACAAGGGGATTAAATAAACATTAATGCAATTCAGAAGCAAGTGATTGTAAACGGGGAAGTGCCCTAGGACCTGAAAGGGGAAAAACCCGATCTGCCCTGAAGCCATTTCTTTGATTTGAAGCAGCCTTCTCGGGCTTTTTTTAAAGAAATAATTTAAATGACCCCGTTTAAAAAAGAAATGCAAAACCTGTCAGTTAAAAAATTCCCCCCCCCCCCCCCGGTTTTTCCCCAGGCGCGCATAAAACTGTTGTTACGGCCCTGAATATATAATATATAAGTGCTTATTGCATAACCAAAGTGTCTTCAAAGTGCCACTCGTTGATTTTTTTTAAGCACCACTTACATGTGATTGTAGTGGTACTCTTCAGTATAACAACAACTAAAATAGTCTGAGCGCACTCTTCAGTTATCTGATGAAACATCCTGTATTGAGGATTAGTGCAGCCGCTCTCAACCTGTGGTTCGTGATCAATTTTGGGGTCGAACGACCCTTACACAAGGGTCGCTTAAGGCCTTTCGCAAAACACATATTTATGAAGTAGCAATGACAATAATTGTATGGTTCGGGGAACATGAGGAACTGTAGTACAGGGTCGCACGATTAGGAAGGTTGAGAACCACTGGGGTAGGGTATCATAAATATAAAGGAGGCAACAGACACAGTTTTATAAAAGCTATATTTCTCCAAAAAACATGTATTAACTTTGGTTACAGGAAATGTTTACGAACGGAATTCGTTCGAAAGAGAATTTTCAACAGTAGCTGGTTCGAAATGAAATAATGGGGGATGGAGGAGACCAACAAAAATAAATTTAAATCGTTTTCAAATGTTTTCATTTCTGCCATTTCTTTTTCACAACTTAGAGTTAAAACATTTTTAACAAATGCATAAAGCGCCGTTTAACAAGGTCAATTTCGAACAAACTCTCATTCGAAAAAAATATCTGTCCCGAATACGTTTTGTACAAATTTCAGTGTAAAAAAAAAGTCTGTCATCTCACTTACTGAAGTAAGAAAGCTTTTAATTTTAATTTAAGGCTAATACCTATATTATTATCAAGGATGAGTACATTTTCAATGGAGAGAAATATATATATATATATATATATATATATATATATATATATATATATATATATATATATATATATATATATACATTGATACGTCTTTAGAGTTATATATATTGTTGGCATCCTTCCGTCCCCGTGATATGATTACGTTGCAGCTTCTGCATAGCATACACTTACTTGGATGGCTTATATGGCCGATATTGTGGTGCCAGTCTTGTATGATCCTATAGTGGCAGTCTCATCTTATTCTAGCATGCCCAAAGTGCTCTGATGACATAAACTCTATTTCAAGAAAAATGTCTTTAAATGTCTCTTAAATGATTTTTTTTCCTCTCATTTTCCTCAAAGACTGAGGAAAATTGTTCCATAATTTAGGCGCTACTGCGTCAAAAGAGCGCACTCCGAAGAACCTCTCTTTGTGTCCATCTACATTGGGAACGTCACACACTGAAAGCTCTATTATTGTCAGACACGTTTATCTAAACCTTCTTTATTCACTTTAAAAGGAAAACTTTTTTTTTTTAATTTAATTTTTTTTTTTAATTACACCCAAGCTTAACTGACAATAAATGAATACTATTTTGAATTTTGATATAACTAAAGAGTATTTAAAACGGGTATACATAAAAAGTCTTCTTTGCATGCATTTTCAATTTTTTGTCAAAATGTTGTTTAACCATTTAGAAAACAATTTGAAAAAAAAACAAAAAAACTTTAATTAAAGGAAAAACAAAAATCGTACAAGCGTTATTTAAACTCCATTCAAATGGAAGTTTGGGTTTTCATAGCGTTGGAATATCAATTATACCACAGGGAAGGACTGGACATATTTTGTGTAGCTATTAAATGATAACATTTGGATGGAGATTAAGCAATTGCTTAAACAGATTGAGGAATGGGGGGCATGTAAAAGACGACAATTTTTTTATTTTTGGTTAAAATATATGAATACAAATCACGGTGTCTGGACACATAGAATTTTTAAAGTATTTTATTATTTATGCTTTCTTTCCGGATTCAAAAAATGGTGAGTGTGTGGGTGGGTTGGGGAAAAAAAAAAAAAAAGAAAAGAAATTTCCCCAAAGGAGTAGATAATGAAAATAATAGAATAAAATGAAGGCTCGATAAATATCAATAAAAATGAACAAAAAATTTTTAAAGTATTTTATTATTTATGCTTTCTTTCCGGATTAAAAAAATGGTGAGGGTGTGGGTGGGTAGGGAAAAAAAAAAAAAAAAAAAAGAAAAGAAATTTCCCCCAAGGGAGTTGATAATGAAAATACTAGAGTGAAATGAAGGCTCGATAAATATCAATAAAACTGCACAACAACCCAACGCAGTGGGTAATATCAGTATCACAGTGCGGTAATGTTCACATTAAAACTATCATTATGGATAAGTAATTACTGAACAGTGACCTCCTTCTTATGAATTTGCTTCTAGTAAGATGAAAAAAAACCAACACATTCCCAACCAAGCAATTAACTTGAATATGGTACTTTAAAACAAAAAAAAGTCAAGCGTACCTTAAAATGATCAATTGTTTCTCCACATTGTTTCTACTTATTTTTTTAATGCCGGTCACAGGAAAATACATGGTGAAATGTTGGAGATTTTCACAGTCAACAAATTTTTAAAATTTTTTTTTATAGTGACAGCTGAACACGAAGTCCCTCGGTGACGTCACGACGACATACAGGGCATTGGATGATTCTCTCCACACACGAGCCACACACGCCATAGTGCCCACACGGCAACAGCATGTGGCTTGCCTCTTTCCCCTCACAGCGACAGCAAGTGGTTTTCTTCTTGAGGTACTTGTTTTCCCGCTGCAACATTCGAAACAACGTGACCAGCGAGCTGTAGGCCTTCTCTGAGGTAAAGTGAGCAAATGTTTACCCATAAAAGCCATTCAGATATAGAGCTGAAATTTTGCATACCAATAAAGTTTCAATTTACAAAATTAATATTATTATTTCAATTTTTTAAGCACCGTAGAGTGGAAATCGCTCTATTGATAAAAGAATGCTATAGTTACGTTAAAGCGCATTTCTAAGAATGAAACTCTCAATGCAATTGAACACACACAAAAAAAGGTAAATCCATTTAATTCTAACTCGAAAATTATGTGTTTGAATTGCTTGGAAGCGATCCATTAAGGTAACACTATTCTTTAAATCCCAACAATGCATTATGTTAGTTCCAATTATTGTTAATAGAATAATTGTTTTCTTCTATATTTAAAATACAAATGATCTTATCGTACCAAGTATTATAATGCACATCAATGATACACCACTGTGCACTTGTCATTGATGTTGTGTTTACATATTGTTTTCTTTTGCCTTCTAGCCATTACTCTCACCCGTGACGGATTAACGAAAAACACAATTGAGGCACGTCCCTAGGGGCTCCGAGAATTTCAGGGCCACATGACAAGAGATTTTTTTTTTTTCTGCTCGGTTGGGGACCTGATTTTTTCTTGAACGTCCTTTAAATCAGTGGTCCCCAAATGGTGGCCCGTGGACCTTCAACGGTCCGCATGCCTAACGCTGCCGGTGCCCGTAACATAAATATTTATTGTCGAAACTTGTTCACCGGTCCGCCAAACTTAAAAGTTTGGGAACCACTGCTTTAAATGACGTAATGAATGTAATGTATAGCAACTGTTGGGCATCTCGGGCATCTCGGGCGTCTCGGGTGTCTCGGGCATCTCGGGCATCTCGGGCGTCTCGGGCGTCTCCATTGTGTAACAAGCTATAGAATTAGGGACGGACAGGGACAAAAAAATGAGGACAACCAACAGAAAACCTAAACGTGTCACTGAAGGTAATCATCAAATGGTGGATAGCAAAGACTGTCGTCTTTTGTGACAGCTCTGATGATTAGAACTCAAAAGTGCAGTGTTGTCACATTGATCAAAAAAACTTAAATTCAAACTAAGAAGTCACTGATATGACATCAAGAGTTAGTTTACGAACAGGGTAAAAACGGAGAGGTTGGGGGGGGGGGCGGGTGAATTGTCGACTGCCTATAGGCTCCCCATGGGGTTTTAATCCGACACTGGTTCTCAACCATAAAAAAAATTTTGAGTTAGCTTTTTAAATATTTTTTTAAATATTTTTATTTAAAATATTGATAGCGTTCGACATCGCCATTTAATTGACACGGGTAAATGTTCTAAATAAGCAACACTGGGTTACCTGTATGATCAGTGGAGCGTTCAGGTGGATGCGGCTCTATTCTGAATAGCTCAATTTCTTTAGCATCTCTATCCTGATTTGTCATTGTATTTGTTAGCTCTTTGTGTGTGGTATTAGCGTCGACAGACGAACATCTACTAGTTCTGAAATTGTTCAGATGCTATACAGTTGTCGGTATTATAATAGTTAATTCAGGAATCATCAAAAACTGCCATTTTTTAACGTCATGTGTATACTAAAATTCATGTACAGTTAAAAGAAAGTTTTTAAAAAAATATAAAAGTTAGACAAATTAAATTCAATAGCTACTGGTATCTTAATGTTAGACTGTCCTTAAACCTAAACATAAATAATATAGGCCTATTGATAGAAACGTTGTCTTAAAGAAATAGCGAATTGAATCATATAAATACTTTTCTGAGTGACTCAACTTTTAAGAAATCAGTCGTGTTTGTTAAATATTATTGTGTTGAGTTTAATCCTGTGTCCACTTGAAATGATGGCCAAAAAAAAAAAAAAAAAAAGGTTAAAAACTATTAAAAATTAATTTATAAAAAAATGATAGAAACGTTGTCTTAAAGAAATAGCGAATTGAATAATATAAATACTTTTCTGAGTGACTCAACTTTTAAGAAATCAGTCGTGTTTGTTAAATATTATTGTGTTGAGTTTAATCCTGTGTCCACTTGAAATGATGGCCAAAAAAAAAAAAAAAAAGAGGTTAAACACTATTAAAAGTTAGTTTATAAATAACCAATTCATAACTGACCAGAACCTGTTCTCTCTGGCTTTGGTCAATATGAGACTGAAGATTTGTTGACTCTTGAGTCCAGACTTATTGAACTAGTTTCATCTTAAATGTAGGCTACATCGATAGCAGCTGGTGTGGTCACAAGAATTTTGTGCACAGAGAAATAGACAACCCCCCCCCCCCCCCCCCCCCCCCACAAAATCCGAATATCACCACCAAACAGCCAGATGTGCACGAGAAGTATCCCTCCAACAAAAACTGAAACGTTAGTTTTATGCAAGTGTGTGTTTTGTTGTTATTTTTTGTACTACATTCTTTGCACAGGACCCACGTACCAGTCAATGTTCTGTTGTTTTCGAGGCCAAGAGGCGAGTAGGTCTGCGATCCTATGATGGTGGATAAATTATTAAAAATCGTTCATTAAAATTTAAAACACCATTTAGCTTTCAATCACAAGATGGATAATCCTGGCAATGATATATTTATTTATATATATATATATGTGTGTGTGTGTGTGTGTGTGTGTGTGTGTGTGTGTGTGTGTGTTTGTGTGTAATGAAACTATTTTAATTTATCACAAATCGTCACAATTACGCCCTCCCAGGAAGTGTCCCATTATTTATGTTCACCCTCTGATAAATTGTACGCCTTTTCCAGAAGAAAAATGTAAATTGAAGACAACAACCTGAAGAGAGTGCTGGAGAGAGAGAGACAAAGAGAGAGAGAGAGAGAGAGAGAGAGAGAGAGGGAGAGAGAGAGAGAGAGAGAGAGAGAGAGAGAGAGAGAGAGAGAGAGAGAGAGAGAGAGAGAGAGAGAAGGGGGGGGGCGAGGGTTTCAAAATGACGCCATATAGCTAATGTATGACCTATATGTAATGAATGTGCAATGCTACTTTAAAATAAAACAATCCATTTCTCTTAAACATTTATTTACTGTAGGTTACTTATAAAAAATTTCATAATAATTTGATGAAAAAAAAAAAAGTCTTAAAACTTTTTAAAATGTATATTAAAAAAAAATATATATATATATATATCTTAAATTCCTGATCTAGCAAATTAAGCCATGTTCTCACGAAACCATGGATTAAACTCATTGAGATCATGCAACAAAGGCACCTGATCAATGGATCAATTGATGTCATTCATAAATAGAATTACATCCATGTAAATTTGTGAGAGTTGAAAATAACAACTACGTCACACGTAGCTTATTAAGAGAAAATGGGTTTCGGGAATTACTAATTTTATTGTGAGGCAATACTGGGTTTTCCCAATGTTTTTTTAAATCTTTTTTTTATTTTTGGTGACGGCATTTCATTAGATAATAATATTGATAATAACAACTATTATTATTTTTATTATTTGCAACGGAAAGAACCACATTACTTATTACTTTGCGTGATAGAGAAGTCCTTAATTTTATTGTAACTTAAAACTTAACCATTTCCTGTTAATAATGTGGGCTACTTCTACTACACTAGTACTACTAAATAAATAGACCTCTTCTAAATGAAAGTTACTTTAGTTACTGTTACTAAGTTACTAAGTCCTTTAAATATTATATTACTTTACCATTACTAAGCTTTCCTCTTTCACTTTCTTTTTACTAGACTGGTTTAAAAAAAATAAAAAAAATCAATGAACTATATATTAATATTTCATGGAACAGAATTACGATCCAACATACTATATTGATTGTTCTTGCTTATATCGACACCACAGAATGGAAGTTGAAAAGCGCAGCTTTGTTTTAGCTTTCATGTTGGTTTGGATAATAATAACCCTTGACCTAATTTCGGGAATTTCCAGTGTGAAACAGTTATTTTCAATTTTCCCGATAATTTATAATTAAACATAGCATGACTAAGAATTCTATGATTATTGAACCTTGAAGCCCTGAGTCATTGGTGTGCAAGTAACACAATTATTCTTGACATTATTTATTAGATAATATATTTCCAAAGATAAATGACCAGTGTCCAGCAGAGAGTATGGATTTTGACTTTTTCATTTTTTAACGAGCATCGTAAAAATGGGCCTCAATTGTCAATTGACAATGGCGTGCTTCAAATTATGCTTACATATTGCCACATAGAGCTACCGCATTATTGACATACCTGTTCATAAAATAAATCTAAATATAGACCTACATAGTAGGCTATAAATTTTAGAAACACCGATCGACAAAATATTAAATAATAATTTTTATTTCTTTTTCTTTTCTTTTTTCCTTGTTGGTTGTGTCATCTTGGTTAATATAATAGTTTATAAAAGAATCCGTTTTCATCGATATTTCTAACACAAATGAGTTTATATTTATCTCGAATTTATGAGGCAAACACAATTAAAAATAATATGACTTCAGTTACAAAAAAAAAAAAAAAAAAAAAGGT